AATAGAAAGGAGTTGATGCAAGTATATTCTTTCATCATCCTCTAATGGTAGAGAGAATTAAAGACATACCTTTTTTAATAAAAGGGTGGGATGGCACACCAATGAACCAAATCCGTTGTTGAGGCTTTGGGCCATGATGGCATGCTAAATTGAACCTAATTCAATTTATTTAAGCTATATATATATATATATATATATATATGGTAAAATACAAAAACCTCCTCTGAACTTTCTGACAATCATAAAAACCTCTCTTATAGTTCACTTTAGCAAAAACCTCCCTACTATTTTTAAAAAATTTGATAAAAACATCCCTTTTGTCAATAATTATGATGGAAAATGTTAAATTGATGATAAAATCTTTCCAAATACCTATTGATGAGGGCGGATTTGGCCCTCCAATGATATTGTGACACATGGCACCTCGGAACAACTGGGTGACACCCGGAACTACTTAGGCAACAACTTAGCCCCGAAATGGCGACCTGGCATAGGCGCTGACCTAGCGACCTGGCATTGATGTCGACCTGGAGACCAGCCTTTATGCCGAATTGGCGACCTAACTAATAAGACAACAGCTCAACCTGACACGCCAAGTCCGCAACGGATTGAGCTCGGATAACCAGACCACCTCGGGACAAGTCCACATCGGACAAGTCCACCTTGGGACAAGTATACCTCGGGATGAGTATACCTCGATGCAAGGTCACATCAGGACCACCTCAGTCCCAAGGCACTTCGGCATTCATATCAGGTTGGATCTAAAGAGCACGAGCTCAGGCAATGCTGACCACCGCATGATAACCCCGAGGATCTCGTCACCGTACTTTGCGTCTTATGGGATCATACCTTGTAACGGTTAATATTATCTCCCCACTCCCCGATTCAGGCGGAAATAGTCAGCCTTACCAGTTGGTAGCTTTATCCCCAACTAACACGGAAACAGATCCTGTCGCAGCGAGAATTCCGGAACTACTTCACCGAAACCGCAAGGACTGCAGTATATAAAGGCTTCACCCCCGGGGGTGAGGAGATGCGTAATCCCTACTCTTTAGCTCTCTCACAATCTAATATCATTTTCAGCTCGCAACCAAGTGCTAACTTAAGCATCGGAGCGATCCCGCCGGGTAAACAACCCCGGGTTCTCTGGTTCATCTCTTGTAGGTTCATCGAGCTTGTCGTTGTTGGTAGCCAGATCATCTCCTGCAGGGAACAGCCGGATTGCGCTACATCATTTGGCGCCGTCTGTGGGAAACACTACAAAAAGCTAAGTTCTCATCCTCTAAAAGGCTAAATCCTCTTCTTCTAGAAATCTACGTCCTCGCTTTTAGAAACTAAAGCTCTCGCTTTATAGTTTCCATTTCTTATGAACTCAAAGACTATGCAGGAAGTTGGTAGCTAACGGATTAAGCACCTCTACCAACTTTATTTCAACTCGGATAAAGCCTCATCAGTCCTCTTCGTGAGGTCCCCTCTACAAAGATGAGCTCTTTGTGGTTTCCGCAGGAGTTGGCAGCCAACAGACTGCATGGACGCCCTTGCTGGTCGAGCCTTCCAAGGCTCCCGTGCGAGCTGGCGACCTAAAGTCAGTAGTGCTGCCCTCGTAGGTCAAGCTCCTAGTAGCTTCTTGTAGGAGTGGGTGACCGGCGTCACGAGGCCGATGTAGTGCAGCCATAGCACTAAAGTACTGAACTGGCGAAGACCTCGAAACCACATAAGACCTAGTCGCCTCTTCGGCATGGGCAAGATCAAGGAGAGTGGACTACGAGTCACTCCCAAAGCCTAAGGGCCAAAATACCGAACTAGCAAAGACCTCCTCACCACATAAGACCCAGTCGCCTCTTCGGCATGGGAAAAATCAAGGAGCGGACTGCGAGTCGCTCCGAAAGCCTAAGGAATTGAATCGATTCTTACGAGCTCATCGAATTATTCATTATGGGCCAAAAGGAGCAATCTACTCCCTTCGCCAAGTTACTTTCAGCTCGGGAGTGGGGGGCAAATGATGAGGGCGGATTTGGCCCTCCAATGATATTGTGACACAAGCACCTCGGAACAACTGGGTGACACCTGAAACCACTTAGGCAACAACTTAGCCAAGATGATGGTGTCCCGAACTGGTGACTTGGCACTGATGCCGACTTGGCGACCAGCCTTTATGCCGAACTGACGACCTAACTAGTAGGACAACAGCTCAGCCTGAAACGCCAAGTCCGCAACGGATCGAGCTCAGATAACCAGACCACCTCGGGACAAGCCCACCTTGGACAAGTCCACCTCGGGACAAGTCTACCTCAGGACGAGTATACCTCGGTGCAAGGTCACATCAGGACCACCTCGGTCCCAAGGCACTTCGGCATTCATATCAGGTTGGATCTAAAGAGCACGAGCTCAGACAATGCTGACCACCGCATGACAACCCCGGGGATCTCGTCACCGTACTCCGCGTCTTACGGGATCATACCTTATAACGGCTAATATTATCTCCCCACTCCCCGATATAGGCGGAAATGGTCCGCCTTACCGGTTGGTAGCTTTATCCCCAACTAACATGGAAATGGATCCTGTTGCAGCGAGAATTCTGGAACTACTTCACCGAACCCGCAAGGACTCCAGTATATAAAGGCTTCACCCCCTGGGGGTGAGGAGATGTGTAATCCCTGCTCTCTAGCTCTCTCACAATCTAATATCATTTTCAGCTTGCAATCAAGTGCTAATTTAAGCATCAGAGCGATCCCACCGGGTAAACAATCCCGGGTTCTCTGGTTCATCTCTTGCAGGTTCATCGAGCCCGTCGTTGCTGGTAGCCAGATCATCTTTTGCAGGGAGAAGCCGGATTGCGCTACATCACCTATTTTATCCTTTTGCAAATTAATTTGCATATGTTTTTGTTAAAATACGCTTGTCGACATATTGTCATCTTTCCCTTTCCCATTGACATACGCTTATCGACATATTATCTAATAGTTGGAGTCCCGACCTTTGCCTTGGAAAACCAATGCTGAGGTCTCTCTCGATCTCTGCCACCATTAGCAATGCATTGTCGGTGCTCAAGAGCTCAGGCGAGAACTATGTGGAGATGCGACCACTCATCAAAGCCAAAGGTCAACTTAGAAGATTGTCGATGTGTCGGGAAGATTTGCATGGTTGATGTTTTCTGCTTTCTTTGTTAAGAGGAGAACCTTGCGTGTCCTTCTTCTACGCTTAAATCCCCAATCTCTATTCTTCTTCCCAAGGTCGTAGGGGTTGTGAGGCATGTCAAGACACATTTCAGGTTAAGATAAAAAAATCATTACCCTCTGTTCATATTTCAATATATATTTTTCCATGAGAAATTTGCAGGGTGTACTTCTTTGACTGCCAATGGCCACTGCTTTTCAACTAAAATTTTCTTTGTTTTCCCCTTCAGTACCAGATTGCTTCATGAATTTTGATCTACCATTTTATAGATCTTCACATATCAAAATTTGTCACTTATCATAAATGTAGACACACCCATTTCTTGGGATTTATTTCCAATTAAATATCTCTTTTTTTACTTTTACTATCAAACTTGTAAAAATTTCCAATTGAAATAGTCAGGAAATTAATTTTTGTTTCTCTATTTTTCCCATTTTTCAGCTTGTTAGATGCAATTCGTCTCAATTCTCGAAGGAGCCCAGAACCTGATCGTTCCAGTACAGAGCAGCTTGTTAAATGCCTATATGATAGATGTCCGACCATTCAGACGTTTGTTTTTACCAAACATCACTTATGGGCTTTTAGAATGGGCCCTAACTGTAGAGGTAGAGGTGTAAATCTTGGAGTTCAGATTTCCTCTTCACACCCACCTCACAGAATGTTGCAACAGTAAATCGGAAATATCTCCCATACTTGTATACATTCATTCATGTTGAGACGTTACCATGGCTATAGGTGCTGCAAGGTAGGCGTGAGGAGAAAATCTGGATTCGTAATCTTGGGTTAGATAGTATGACGGTCACAAGGGCATACATTTTTGAGTAACAGTTGCATGCATATATACTAATACTACCACTAGTGTAAGAGAGCACGTGCTATACAGGAATCCAGATTTCCTCCTGACACCCACCTCACAACATGACAACACTTTCAAGGAAATCTTTAGATGAATGAAAACATACAAATAGATGAGAATACAGCAAAAAAATTTATCAGATTTAACTTTTATGGCATGCACCAAAATAAAGACAAATATATGCTTTATATAGTATAAATGACAGCCATAACCAAACCTAATTAAAATATAGGCAGCCATTGATTGTAGTGTAGCCACGCATCCTTTCCTTCAATGCTCAAGACAAAGCGTTGTCTCCTTTTTTTCCCTAAAACTATTTTGTTCTATTTGTGGCAAAAGGTAGGCCATAGCTAGGGTACAACATGAATGAGACATGCAGCTAGGCAATAGAAGGAACTAAGACAATGGATGTGTCATGTGTACACAATAAGTGTATGTGGTACTACATATATAATGTCATGACGGGTATTTGCCAAGGGCCCAAGTCCATCAGCTGAAGGGTTGTTTGGCATCATTGCTGCTTCAAGCATAAATGCCATCACATTAACGCCAGATAGGCATTTTGAATTCATCAATGGCCAGTTGTTAATTTTATTTGGTCGGAAACTGATGTGGGACTGACATGGATGCATGAGAAACACATATTTCTCACAAACAGGTTTCAAGTACAAACCGTATTTCAATTCAAATCATTGCAGTTTGAAACACCAAGGGTGCCAAACACAACCTGAAGATATCCAATCTGATTATTTCAAATTTTAAATTTTAAAAATTGTATCCGTATATATAATAGTTGGATCAAACGCAGGTAGAGCTAATCGATAGACACGTAGTCAGATTTTGAACGCCAGCTGTCGAGAAAGAGAGTACTGCTGGGGTACATGATTATACGTGTCCTTAGACTTGAATGGCCAAGGGAAACAAAGCGCTTAGAAAGGAAAACAAAAGGAGACGACTCAAGACAAGCTTACTGAAATCTCAACCTTGTTACACTTACACTGCAAGAGCAAGACAAATTATATTTACTCATACCATGCACAAACATTTTCTTGACTTATTGCAGTTTTGAAGTTTGAACATGGAGAGAGAGAGAGAGAGAGATGTTAATTAGGGTTGTACTGCATCTATCTCCAGCCAAATTAGCAGAACGTTTGCTGAATTTCATGTGCTAGTTCCTCCGCACTGAGTTCGCATTCAATTCCAATCTATCAAGGAAGAATGAGAAAAAGTAACCACCAAAATCAGTAAAGGTTGATTAAATGAACATGGCCTCAAATAAATAGCAGCTGGTGCGTGCATGCATGCTAGCTTTTTCTTTTTCTTTTTGAAAATAAAGATTTATATTGCAGCAATCACCACCAACTTCTGGTGCTCTTAAATAAGCCATTTTTACACAGAATAGCCTTTGCTGAAAATATTTTAATTAGCTCCTTGAATGAAGCTAAGGACTCTCCACTGATTCACTGATGATGGAGGTAAACCTGAGTACGATCCCGTCGAACTTCATTCCAGGAGCTAGCCAAGATAAAAATATAAGTTCCTTTTGGGTGCCAATACTGTTAAAGAATTAATTAATGCCATTATATTTCTGTGAAATCAATGACAAAAACTTACTATACCCCTGTATACATACTCCTTAATTTTATATCTACAAAAGCTCAATATAATTAATTTAATTAAACCCGTATTAATCTCATCATGCTTAATTTGCTCGGAAAGAGAAAGAAGATGAAGCGGCTGCAGAGCTAGTAGTTGGTATTTACCTTGATGGTGAAGGAATTGAGCATGGTATCATCGACGGTGCTGATGCTCACATGGAGAATTTCGAGTGGTAGGCTTTCAAGGGTTGCAACTATCTTTAGAGCTTGACCAGGAATCCGTGGTGATATCGTCTTTAAAAGAACATTCGACCCAGAAAGCTTCACTTCTACATCTGCAATTGCTGACTTTGAGTTGGCCCAGAGCTCCTTGGCACTACTGTCAAAGGAGGAGCAAGTCGACAATGAGGATTCATGTGAAGTAGCAGCAGCAAGCTGGGTGGGTGATGGGTAACCTTGTTGGGACGACGTCCTAGGCTTGTAGGGGCTGCCTGGTTGGGGGGTTCTTGGGCTTATGGGTGGTAAGCTTAACCTTGGACTTAGAGGTGGTTTCCGTGGGCTTAATGGCGACGGTCTTGGGCTCGAAACAAGCCTAGGGCTTAGAACTTCACTGTAGGCTTTCCTTTGCTTCTTTGCCTCCAGTGACTGTAGTACTTGCTGCAACTCTTTGATATAATCAACAACACCCCCTATTATGGATGCTTGATCTCCCTATATAACAAAAAAAAGAAAAGATCGAAAAGATATGTTACAAACTGAGTGAAATTGAGGGTTGAGAGGAAATTATCTAGGCTAGAAGGAAGGAAGTAGTTACTCTTTTGACGTAGAAGCAAGGCATCAACGAACGCAGGACCGAGAGGTGCTCGTTCATTTGCTTCCTCCGATTGCGCTCCACCGTTATGTGCGACATCCGTTGCTGTCCGTCTTGAGGTGGCTCGTCAGAAGAAGCAATGGCAGTGGCAGACGAGAGCTTAGGTCTCTTGGAAGGTGGTGAGGCTTCAACTCCTGTGTCAGTGTCCTGTTGTTGAGCAGTACTCGAAGAAGTAGGCTTTTGAGAAACCAATCTAGTTGAGTCCTCGCAGCTGCTTCCACCAGTACTGCCGCCTTTCGGGCGAAGAACAGTTTCACCAAGTGGCGTTAATGGAGCAAACTCTGGGGCACCCTCTACCTCTAGGGAATCAAATATGCTGAAGAGGTCATCAGGTGAAGCGCCTCCGGTGAAGCTTGTGTCGGTGAATTCCGTTTCGTAAAAGATATCCGATAAACTATCATCCATGTTGCACCCCTCGGAAAAAACCAAATCCGCCCTCACCGTCACGGAAAACCGCTTATTGGATTCGATGAACCACGTAGAAACCACTCCGTTGGACGTAAAGCTTCTCAAGTCTTAACTGAGAAATAGATAAAAAAAAAAAAAAACCCAGAAATCCATGAAGACGTTAAATGGTCAGTCGAGAAATATAATGGCAGGAGGGAGCGTACAGTGAAAATAACTAAACATCGACGACACAAACGGATTTTAGTGGACAAATAGATCAATCCTTACCGTTAGATGTAATTGATCTGACGGTCATCCGTGGACATCAAACCACAGGATCAAAAAAGAAAGAAACCAAAGAACTAGACGAAGAAAGAAACCGTTTGGGTGGCTCTCTGATAATCGACAAAGTCACACAACAAAGGGAGAGGAAGAGAGAGAAAGAGAGAGAGAGTAATATATGAAGCAAGGTTTGACTCAAGACACAAACAATGTCAATGTGGAGACGAGGTAGAGGATAAGAGTGTAGGGTAGTAGTGTGAAGTGGGCCTCTTGGGGGCTTAATTTGATTCAGGTGAACCACAAAAAAATGGTAACGTATTTTTGTTGTTCTGTGGATGGCATTTATTAATTGATGGGCTTGCTCTCATGGAATCAAAATCCTTGCAGGTTGGGATTTATTGTTTGATGGGCTCGTCCTGTGGAGTACAGATCTTTGTTAATTATAATTGGTTGTTCACAAGGTTTGGACTTTTAGCAATTGGCCCACTTTGTTTCGTTTGGTCACAACTCACAACTATCTGGTGCATCGATCAGCCATAACCACTGAATGTACTATGCACTTCTTCTTTACATAAAAACAGCAATTAATTAGTTTTTACCTATATTCAAAATTAAAATGATTGTATTGAAGAGAATTTTTTTTATTTACCCATGATAAATCTGATGACGTAACATTATACCACGAAAACACCTTAACGTTGTCTTTTGGTTGGAGGAAAGATTTTGGTGGAATGGGAAATGATGGGATTGAAAAATTTTCAGATTCCGTTGTTTGGTTACAAAAGGGAAAATAGTGGGAAGATCAATCCTAATAAGAATTAATTAATTAAGTAATTAGTAATATTTTAATTATTTTTATTTTAAATTTCATTAATCATTAATAATTAATTAAAAATTAATATTCTAATTTTTATTTACATTTTATTTTATTCATATATATTGTGAATTAATTAATTAATAACTATTTTGTTGTTAATTATTAATTAATTGATAATATCTTTTCACTATTCATTTTTTGTTACTAATTATTAATTAGTTAATTAATTATTATCATTAATAAATATTTTAATTTTTATTAATTTATATTTTATTTTACTAATATGATATTAAGTAATTAAAAATTTATTAGTGGATCATGGGTCTAGTATTAAGTTATTAACTCTTACAAATGATCCAAGAATTAGGAATAATAGGTAAAAATATTCAACTATGATACCAGAAAAACTTATATCCAATCAACCAATATCAATAAATAAGTTGACGATCAAATGATATTCATCATGCTTTGATTCATCAAAGCTCTTCCCCCACCGTGTCATTATACAAGTTGTACAACAATCAAAACAGTAATCATAACGTAATTCGGTAATCCCAATGGTCACTTTTTTGGGTTCTCCTTGCTTAGAGTCCGGATCTCCTGTCAACAAAAATACGTTCGAGAGACCCTTCCAACGTTATATCATACTGCACATTTCACCATAAGATAGGAATCCATGGGATCTGTAATATATATTAGAACCAAGGTTTAAAGTATTCGATCCGTATTAGATGATATTTATCACTTCAGGACTTCTCCGATATGCCCCTATAGTGAGTGTATCGGGGTCTAATCGGTTCAGGGGATGGAAGAGCCCTAAACTGGCCCCCGAACCAATTATGAAAAAAAAAAGCAAGAAAAGGTAACATTGATTCGCCCGATACACCCCCACTGGTGTATCAATATTTTGAACCTTGATTAGAACGTATTTTATTGGCAGGAGATTCTAGGTCCACTGCTCCACCATAATCTTTTAGTTGTTTTAGATGTAAAAGAGATTGGCTTCAATGTCCACAAGACTGTGTTCACACCATTTATACACAGGAGCCATTTACACCGTGCATTGAGAATATCTACGTATGTGCGAATGATATGAGCACCCTCTTGTATTTTCAAAGCTCCTTCTCTCATTTTCAAAAATTTTAAACTTTTACTGCCCGTTTGGGGGGCTTTGAGATGCTATTACTAACATTCCAAACTAAATTGTAAATATATACTCAGTAATACAAAGTAAAAGGCTTTTACACTTCACTATTTATATTTGCACTCTTCCCAAATAAAGTCTTAGGAAAATCTTTGAAACTGTGTTTACTGAAAATCCTGAATGCTAACATGTGTGTGTGACTGTGACATGAAGCTAAGCTATTCTGGGGAACTTATTCGAAACACAGTGCTCAACCAAAATGGCCCTATAACTTCAATTCGTCCCATCTGACAAGAATACGAGAGTAATGAATTTTGTTGATTAGACAAATATGCTAGTAGGGCTGTTCATAAGAATGCTCAACCCGACTAAACCGACCAACTTGGACCGACCCAATCTGAGTCGGCCGGGTTTTCATCAGTACCGGTCGGTTTTGGATTGGATAAATATATAAACCGATATATTGAGCCGGTTTTGGTTTTCTTGTGTGAAAACCGAAACCAACCCGACCCGAACCGAACTAGTCTTCTACTAGTTCGGTAAGTTCCTAGTTTGAGTAGTTTCCTACTTAACTATAACTAGTCTTCTACTAGAACTAGAAGGCCCATTAGACAATTACAATTAGAATAGGCAATTTATCATAGTTTCTAACTTTCTATAGTCTTTTACACCAAATAGGCAACCTATTAGGCAATTACAATTAGAATTCAATTAGGTGTCCTTTTGTATAGGAGCAAAACCGAAATCGACCCAAACCAACCCAACCCGACTCAAATCGACTAGGTCGGTTTGGCCTATCAGTGAATCGGTTTCGGTTTCCACCTCAGGTAACCCGACCAGGTCGGGTCGGTTGGGAAAACCCCAATAAACCGACCCAACCCGACCCGTGAACACCCTATATGTTAGACATGGATTTGAATTCAATTCCTTCACATAAATCATAAATCTGGATATATACACTATTCAAGTGCAACATAATTTCAAAAAACTATAAATGAAAATTCTGAAGAGGGTTTTTTATTTATCATGTACATCTAAATTTAATAGATCGAATCAAATAATAAATATCTAAATTTAAGATCAAATAATAAATATCTAAATCAAATAATAAATCTGGATATATACCCTATTCAGGACATAATAGATCGAATCAAATAATATCTAAATTTAATGGCAACTAATAAATAACTCACGTTAATATGGTTGAAAGGAAACTTAAATCCGATTTTTAAACAAAACTGATTTGAATTAGAAAGGGATTACATCCCAATAACAGTTTGGATAACTCTGCAGATGTTGTCATACGCAACACGTGGTTGACATATATAAAATATTCTCTAGTAGAGAAGAGGTGTTTTGTAATGAAAATCCAGATTTTAAAATTCCACCCAGAATCGAAACTGTTATGGCCATTGGTTTTCAGGTGATGGTTTGACTGTTCGATTAATAAAAAATAGTTAAAAATCATTGAATGGGTTGAACAGTTTGATCACTTAGATCAGTGGATTACTGACTAACTAAATGAAACCGGTTGTCTGGATAATTCTAAGGCGAATGGTCCAACCATCCAGGTCAATGATGTTATAAAACAGAGGAAGTGATCGAAACCCTAACTCCTCCCAGCTGACGGGTGTGGCTCACGAGCTCCATCCTCAACCTTTAATTGTTGAGTCCTTTCAGATTTTGACTCGTGAATATTCAATCATATTTTTCTCTTGTCTTTTCTCTCTCTCTGTGAGACTGTGATCCATCTATGATCTATCTTCTTCAGCCTCCTTCAATCAAAATATGCGACAAAATCTTAAGGCATATATGAAAATTTAATGCACTGGCCGGGGTTCTGCCACTGCTCCGACCCTCTCTGTTAGCTTCATTCATTTCTCAATCTGCAACAGTATTCAATGCCACCACGAAAGAGGTATGAGTGTAACAACTAACCGTTTTCTTGGCCAATATGCCCACAATTCCCTACACACTCTCCTGTTTATGAAATCCAAGGCTGGAATAGCTTTTAGAGGCATATTTTGAGAAACGTGAGATCCAAATCCAATATAATCACACACACTGATGAGCCCGGAATCTCTCCAAAATGGGATCCCGATCCACAGTAAAGAAATCACTCTTGGGCTGCTCTATGCCTCGATTGGGAATTGGGAGGGCTTGGCTACTGATCATTCACATGGTTCAGCTCATCAGCTGTTTTAAATGAAGTTATTGGAATAGGCTGCTGATCTCATTGGTTTCATCACCTTCAGAAAACTGGCCAGGTGGTTTACCCTTTGTGGCCTGACGTTGATCAACGAAGCTGGAGAGACAGGGGAATCTTGCTATGTCTAGTCTTGTCACCTTAGGACCATTATAATGGTCTGCCATGTTACTGGTTCTACTGATATTAAGGGAGGAAAAACATTATCATATCATAACCTAACGGCTTTTCTAACTGCTATAACGGTCAATGACATGGTAGTAAAGATGTAACTTTAAAACGCAAATTTTTAATTAAGAGCTAGCCAGTGGGAGGAGTTGGAACTTGGTTGTGTAACTTTTTCTCAAGAAGTTGGGGAGTCACCAATGGGAAGATAGACCAATTAGATTCCTGTGGTTGAAACTCCATTACTAGCTAGCTCATTGGCATGAGAAAGGGAATGAGGCAAGGCCAAGGCCACCACCTTCTGACTTCTGTTATAATGATTACGAGATGACTCTGTCTTCTCTTCAGTTTTGTATTCTTATTCTTAATTTGCTTTCGTACACGACAGTGTCAGAGTCCCTCACTGCGGCCCTCCCTTCACAGTTTCTCTCCTACACGCCTCCCTTTATGAAGATTTATGGGAGAAGAGATCACAGTTGTTGAGAGCCATTAATCCAACTACTCTCTCTCTCTCTCTCTGTGTTGTGGCTCTGTGTGGAAACTTGAAATGTTTTCGAGAATAGTAGAGAGAAGACTCATATATGATGAGAAATTAGGATGGTTTAAATTGAAACCCAGACCGGGTCCAGACTCTACAGAGAAATTTTGAATGTGATCATGCTTTGGATGCGTCCTTCATAATGTAAGGAGGAAAGCTCATTGATGATGGTAAGTTAGAGGTGGTGGTGGTTGGCCGGTTGTGAATGCATGGGAAATGTGTTTGATGCTTCAAGTCCACATCACCAAAATTTTCATATCAATTTCTGTTGGTTGCAGTGTAATTTTATTTGCATTAATACAAATGCATGGAAGTGCAAATGAAAAAAATGTAAATTCTCG